TGTTCCTTTTAATTGTAGCAGGTATATGTATTTTCCTAATGATCTGTTGTGGAGTGCAATGTGTACCTATGTGCTGTGACTCACTCAAGAAGTTGATACCTACCCCTGTCAACCGAGTGATGTTCATGAAACCTTCAGTCATGGATCCAATCCAGAAGAATCGAGAAGACGCAAAACGGTTTTTGAGGCTAAAAGAAATGGTCGAGGACTATGGTCCCATTTCATAGGGTCATAGCCTCGAAGCGGGGATTTGATGTAGTCTTTTTTTATGGTATATCTAGCTTTTGCAAATTATATCTAACTGAATACTTAAGGCAGCTTGCTGGTGCTGGCAGGGGTGTGGTATATGTATGTTAAGAAATGCTTGCCCGCTGGGAAAGAAATGCCACGTAGGCAAGCCTAGACAAGTACGGACATGTTCTGTGGCTAAGGTAATATGCGCATGGGCTAAGAAAAGGCAGCCAATAGTAACGGTACAGCGTGTTAAGTGGGAGAAAGCTATATAAGGCTGAAGCAAGCCAAATGAGGTGGTGCTTGCTTTGCGAATGATCGCCAAGCACCCCTCTCTGCGCAGACTTGAAACAATAAAGATTAAGTTGGATCCTCCACCCCTGTGTGTTTATTGGCAAAAGCGCACCGGGCACAAACTCACACTGTCCTTTGGGGACAACAGCAGGACAATGCAGATCTGGGGTCACAGCTCCAGCCATAGGAGAGTCCCTGGGCGGCCTAAGGGGGACTAGGAAACTAAACGGGATGGGAGCAGTGTCTGCCTGGTCTGCTTCTGGCAGAGAAAATGTGGGGAATGGGAAATGCTTGAACAGAGATTTGAACGGTATTGAGGGGCTAGCAGGGCAGAGATCAAACCCCGCAGTGGGAAGTCATCTGTATTTCTGCAAGCTGTTGTGTTGGGCAGGAGGCTCTGGGCACTGACAACATGTTTGAGCTTGAGGAAGGGCAAAACCTGCAGGTCAGTGAAATCCTGACCAAGTGTGTGGAATTAGGGATGCCACAAGGGAAGGAGAAATGCATGTTTTAGCAGGTGCCTGCAACCGCCTGACGAAATCCTGGGGTTGAGGACATGCAGCCAGACCTGGGACTGTGGGGAGCTGGCAGAGTCCCTGGGCAGAGACTGAATAACCTGTGGCAGTGAAGGCTGGCAGCGCCCTGGTCCCGTGCAGGCACCGTGGGGTGACGCTGGCCCTGCCCCGGCGGGAGAGGAGAACCGCACGGTTCCTCTCAGGGGGGACGCACCAGGCTCCCCGCAGGCGCAGGGTCAGGTCTGGAGCAGCCCTTGCCATTGAAGAGCTTTGAAATGAAACATGAGAAATTAGATTCAATGGAGGGGAGGGCTGGATTATTTTTCTTTCTTTTTTTCTTTTATATCTCCCCTCCCTTGCCCCTTCCCCCAGCCTGGAAAACTGAACACTTTCAGGAGAGCCTGAGTTTTTAGGGTTGTTGATTGTAGCCGTATTGGTTTAAGGACATAGGCAGGCACGGTTTCTTTGGGTAGATGTGATATCTTTTATTGTACCAACTAAATAGGTGGGGAAAAGCTCTTTAGGCAGGTCTCAGCCCCAAATAACAGTCCTGACAGCTCTGAAAAGCTCTTGGCTGACAGCAGACGCAGGGAGAAATGCTGGGTGTGTTGAATTGTTGTGAAGTGGCTTCCAACCCTTTTTCTGCTGTTTTCATTGGAGTTGTGGCGAGCTGCTGCTCCACGAAGGGTTACCAGATCCCCCCCGATCCCAGCGCTGGATCTTGACCCCGGCTCCTCCCAGCTCAGCATCTGTGCCGTTATTTCGCAGGAAGGAAACGGCCCAGGGTGAGCCCAGCCCTGAGCTCAGGAAAGTGAAAGTACCCCGTGCCCTCCCGTCTCACAGCCATGGCCGCGGCGAGCGCTGTACAAAGCCTCCGGGACGAGGCGACCTGCTCCGTCTGCCTGGAGTTGTTCAGGGACCCGGTGATGATCGTGGGCTGCGGGCACAACTTCTGCCGAGCCTGCATCGCCCAGTGCTGGGAGGGGGCCGAGACGGACGTCACCTGCCCCCAGTGCAGACAGACCTTTGCCCAGAGGCTCCTGGGCCCAAACAGGCAGCTGGCGAATGTAGTCGAAGTGGTCAAGGGCCTGAGCGTGGGGTCAGCGGAGGGAGCCGGGGGCAAGATGGTGTGCGAGCAGCACGGGGAGGCTCTGAAGCTCTTCTGCGAGACAGACCAGGTCCTGATGTGCGTGATCTGCCGGGAGTCCCGGGCGCACCGAGCTCACCCCGCAGCTCCCATCCAGGAGGCTGCGCAGCAGTGCAAGGTACGGGCGTGCG